ATGCACGATTTTACCATTGTGTCGATTCCATTTAATTTTTCTGTTGTTTCCATGCTGATTTGATAAGCTTAAGTAAATTTAAATTTTTTTCCTGGATTTATTAACTTTCGGTATTTTTTTCTCTAACTGTATTTTTTCCACTTGTGCTCACGTTCTGGTGGTCTCCAGAAATGTTTTTTCTTCATTCTTTTTGAAATTTGATCTGGAAATTTTTTATTATTAAGCTAATCCTTTTCATTTCTAAAAACTAAGCAAATTTTGTTTTGGAAAATTAATTGGAAACAATAAGTAAAAAGTTTCTTAAGTTCACTACAAAAAGTTTTTTTTATGGCTTTGGTTTACTGCTCGCTTAAGCTCATTGCATAGTTAATGAAATTCACGATCGTTTCTTTGGGCTCCAATGCTTGAGGTTTTAAAAGCTTAGTGTCTCATATTAAGTCTCTAATTTTGTCTTCTTGCGTGGGAGCTTGTGCGATTTCAACACGATTTACGGTACTTGTTGTCTATTATTAAATAATTATTGTTCATTCTTTTTTTGTATGTGGCAAAGTAGCCAAAAATCGCGCCAACGGTTGTAAACATTAATGTTTTACTCGGATTTTCCAAAACCAAACCTCCATTTCGTGCCTCAAAAGCAGCTTTTTGGCTTTAGTTTGCATTTTTCTAAATTTAAATTTTCCAAGTTTGTTTTATTTGTCATAACCGTATTGCGTGTGATTTTTGTGTGGGCGTGTGTGTGTGTGTTTATGTGTGAACTAGCACATATAATACACGACTTCGGTGCTAATGATATGCGTAAATGAAACATTAAAAACAAATGTTCCGAAAAAAAGAATTAAATACAAATAAAATTAGCATGCGAATTGTGTTAGAGGAAAAGTACAGGGTGCTGGTGATTAGTAAAAGAATTAAAGCTATTTTTTTCACTTACCTGACCTCCACCAAACAAACGCTAATGGTCAATGCCCAGTCTGCGGAAGGAAGCAGTGAGGTCATTGCTTTAATGTTGAGTGAACGACTGACTGAATGATGGCTTGAATGACCCAACACTGGCGGCTGAGTCAAGAACTCAACACAAAGCGACGACGGCGTTGATTTGTTGACCCAGACGTCTTACGGTTGTTTGTTTTTGTGCACAAACTAATTTTCTGTGTACTTGTTCCCTACTTTAGTGCTTTTTTTGTTTTGGAAAATTCCTCATAGATTTCTAAGAAACATAAATACAAACAAAAAATGATAATTCAATGAGAAAAATACCAATTATGCTGTGCGATATGTGAACAAGAACAGAATAAAAAAAAAAACGATAAAAAATGAGAAAAAGTAAATAAACACAGGTAAAGAAAAATAAACCAAACAGTAAACAATTTTCAGACATTCAGAGCAAAATACGAAAAAGTGAATTAATATAACAATAACAACGAAACACAACAAGAAAAGTAAAACCAACCACGGCTTACCTCTCCTCGCGCCAGCTTCAAAAATTCGTGGTCCTCAATCACAGAAAAGAAAAAGCAGAAACCAATCTAACTTGATACGACCTCGTCTCGAGGTGCCCACAAACCTTTGAAATTATGTTGAGAACGCCCACACACATCGTGGAACTGAGTACGAATTCGACGAGCCCGTTGCTACAGAAGTTTCACGCCAGCGCCGGTCCGAACGGCGGCGTTGGCTCAGCGAACGGCTCCAGTGCCGGCTGTGTGAAGGCGAGCAGTTGTGCAGCAGCAGCGGCGGTGCAATACCAACAGCAGCAACAGCAAAAGCAAACAACGACCGGTTATCGATTTCAAGCGAAGGGCATGAAAATCACCACATCATCCTCCTCCACGGCTACGAAAGAGCACTTAGTGAACTCGGCAACAACAACGCCTGCGCCAACAACGAACACGCCAATCTCGGCAGCGCGCAGTCTTTTGTCATCCACACCATTCATTTCGTTTAAGCGTATCAAAAAATCGAAAACAACAGCAACAACAACAGCCACAAATCGAAACTCAACGAGTACTACACGCTCAAAAACGAATGGTCTGATCGCCACGGCTGTGGTGGAGCACGTTTATGCGCCCGCAACAGTTGCTACAGCGACAACAGTAAACGGCGGCCAACCGTTGCAGACGGCACCAACAGCTGACGGCAACGGCTATCATCATTTCTGTTGCGGCGGCAATCAGAATCAGAGTAACAACAATAACAACAATTATCTGGCGGACCGCAGCGGTACTACGTTGGTGAAGTCATCGTCGTCTTCGTCGACTGCCTCTTCAACGGCCTCGTCGACTCACTCGGCCTTCTCTGCACCGCCGCTCTCCGCTTCAGCCTCCGCTGCGAGTGTTGGCAACGCGAGCAATATTAGTTGCAGTACGCAGAGCACGGCGATCTCCAGCACCAATTCGAACATCTCTAGCACGGCGTCAACCGCCTCGGTTGTGACGATGTCGCCCACAACTCAGGCACCTACACGGACGTCACTGTTCGATTCGTGTCATCGGAAGATACGCCTAATTGGCGGCGGTCCAGTCGCATTTCTGGGAGGACTTGTTGCGTAAGTTGAAAACTGAGTTTTATTTACCGTTATTTTATTTTTAAGTGTAAGAAAATATGCGCTACGGGGTTGGCCTATCGATTTTAGAGCCGAAACATGTACTATAGCAGAGTTTTTATGTGACACGGTCTATATAGGAGAGAATCTCAATGAAGGATACTCGTTCTTAAGACGAACAGACCGAAAGAACGCTCAAAGTACGACTGTACGAAGCTTAATTCCACTATGAAATTCGAGTCTTTCCCTTCTGCTGCGAATTAGCTTACTACGGAAACCTGTGCTAATTGAAGGATTCGCAGCCTCACTAAAATACTTCCTTTCGTTTTACGCGAATTTGTTTGTTCAAAAAACTTTGCATTTAACTCGTTGGCAAACAATTGACAGCCATAACTCCCTCCCCCAACTGTTAACCAGTCTTAAATGCCGGCCCAGGCGTACAAGAGGCTTTGACGTATTGCGCCACTTGTAATTAGACTCACAAAAACCAAATGAAGTATGCGCAACTTATAAAAGAAATAACGAAACAAAAACAACAACCAGTAATTACAGATATAACAATAAACCGACACTTGACTGAGAGACTCGCAGCGCGCGTAGTACTCGCTTGGCTTTTGTTTGCCACTCCAATAAAACGCCTGCTCACCACAGCAGCGGCGCGCCACTTGAATACGCGATGCAGAACAATCAACTGAGCATCAGCAGCTCAGCATCACTGCCAGCGCATTGGCTCGGCGGGTCGTACTGTGGGGGCAGTCAACTTTAATTCAATTACCAGGCCGCGAGGTGCCGCTGCCACACAAAGTCATAACGCCCAGAGACATACATGCCTACATGCATATACGTGTATGTACAAGCTGCCGCATTGACCGCTTAAATGCGTCCAGTTGCACTTGTTTGTTTGTATGCATGTATGTATGTGCATAGGTGACTTAAATTTAATTTTGTTAGTTTGTATGTAGTTCAATGCCTTGACTTTGCAATTTAAACGCAGTTAAAAGTTCAAAGCAACGTCAAGTGAATGAATGAATGAATGGATGAATGGATGGATGAGCAAGCTCATTACAAGCTGACACACATGCAAACATACTTAGGTGCTCTTGAGTTCGCTGGCGTCATTTGGTTTGAGGTGTACAAATGATGCTGCAACTCAAAGAAAAGGAAAAAAACCTTTGACTATTTATTTTACGACACTCATAACGGTTAAAATAATAAAAGAAGCAGGCAAAAATGAAAAAAAAAACCGACTCGTGTTTGCAGGTCAAAATAGTTTGAGGCAAAAGTTGATGAGCTCCAACTACTCCCATTGGCGATACGATGCAAGAATGTCGAAACAATTTGGACTCTGTTCTTCTGAATCTTGATAACAGTTTTAAGAAAATAAAAATAAAGAAAGCGTTGGCATTTATATGGACTTGAAATATGTAAAAAGGATATTCCAAATCGTTATATTCTGGCGTTGAAGACATCTTAAGCTCACTCATAAAGATTCCTTTACGACGTTATCGATAAATTAAATACGATTTTCTTGTTCATCTCATTCTTGGAGTTTGTAGAGTACTGTTTCAAGTTCTGTGGCAGGATCGCTCTTGCTGGCTTTGTTTTATTTTATTTAAATTTAATTTAATGTATTTCTTTAATTTTATTTTGCTTTACTTCATTTTATTATATTTTGTGTAATTACACATAACCAATTCATCTATTTTATTTTAATTTCGTTTAATTTATATTTCTTAACTTTTTCATCTATTTTAATATATTATATTTTGTTTAATTTAATTTAATTTATTTATTTGCTTGATTTTAATTTACTTTGTTTACTTTTTTAATATTTTGTAATAATTTTTATTGTTTGTTTTTTTTCAATTTTTTTAATCGAATTTTTGTTTATTTATTTAAGTTAATATTTTTATCTGATTTTATTTTAGTTTATTTTACTTTGTTATATTTTGTATAATATAATTTAAATTCATTTAAATTAAATTTTTTTACTTTATTTTAATTTACTTTGGTTTTTAATTTTACTTAATTTTATTTTATTTATTCCTTTTTTTTAACATTTACCACCAATTTCATCACTCGTACTCCTTTATGCGTTCAGTTGCCTTCAACGTTATTTCATATTATTTCACACTTTTTTTTCTTCCTCTGCCAACCTCCCATTGTTACTGTATTCGAGGCTATTTTGCAATGTTTTTTGTTCCTCTCATGGGTTTGTTAGTTGAGCCATTAGCTGCCCGCACAGTCACATCTTTTGTGTTTGCTTACTTTTTTATTAGCAATTGTTGGGTGTTTGGTCTTTGTTTGTCAGCCACATGTGGCGTTGTTGTTGTTGCTGTATTTATGCCGCTCCATGTGCTTAGTCATTTTGCGATATATAAATTTTTTTTTAACAAATTTTTCACCTCGGCAATGGTATTTGACTTACGTTTTGTTTTTTTTTTTGTACTTCGACACCATGCCACCAACAAGTCTTGCGAAGCGCGACTGTCAAGTGCAGTTGGTCAGCAGTGATGATGATTTTCTTTTTTCTTTGGCTATTGAGTCAGTCAGTCACCTGGCCAGCCAATAGTTACTGTTATTTGCTGATTTTAATTGCAATTATAATTGCCTACTTTTATGATGGACACTTTGTGGTAGCGTTTTCGTTGACAGCAGCTGCTGTCTTAGGCTGTTTGTAAGTAGCAGATGCTGCGGCGGTTATTTTATGGCCTTTTGCAGATTATTGTCTATTTTCTATTGACTAATTTATTTTTATTATTGCTATTATTTTTTACTTTCCTTATGCAAAACAATCTTCAACTTTATTTCGTTTTTTGGAAAAAAAAGAAGAAAAAGGTAAAATCAAGTTAGTCTATCAATAGCAGTTCTTTATTTATGGCTGAAATCGTTGTCGTTGTCGTCCAGACCTGTTCTTTTAGTCAATTAGCGCCGTACAGTAGTAGAATTTAACTTCTTGTTGGCAAATGGAAGTTGTATTTTACCTTCGATTTTATTAATTTTTTTCTTTTTTTTATTTATGTTTCTTTTTTAATTTTTTTTATTTTTTGTTTTAAATTCAAATTTTTTTCTATGTTTCTTTTTTCTATTTTTATTTTATTTTTGACTAATTTGGATTTTTTTGGTTTTTGATTTCAATTATTCATTTTGTTTTGTATACTTTTATTTTTCAAACTTTTGCTTTTTAAATTTATTTGTTTTTTATTTATATATTTTAATTTCATAAAGTTTTAGAATTGAAATTAAAACTAGAATTTTAATAAAAATTTAAATAAAATAAAATAAAATCACATTATGTCGTCATTATGTCGTAGAAAGCGGAAACTGTATTCTATTTGCCATGGAAAACAATTTTATCAAAAAAAAAAAAAAAAAAAAATATATATATTTAGTCCTCTCCGCGAGAAAGAAAGAAAGATTTTGCTGCAAAAGGAATAATAATAATTTCCATATTTTTTCAACATTTTTGTTGCCTTCAAAATCTAGGGTGTCATAATAATACTAGAAACAGCAACAACATTGAATAATCACTAACGCAATAAAGCACATTTTTCAAACTTAAGTCAGAACACACACACACACATATACATATATACACACAATAAACGGTAACACAACGGTTACAATTTATGTGCATGCAACAATGTGGCCATTGCCGTTCGATTCAATTCTCAATGGTTGGCATTGTACTGTTTTATTTGGCCTCTTCCTGTCTCTCAAGTCACGCATACGCACCAACCATTATTGTTGTTATTGTGTGAATGTGAATGTGTCATGAACTGCTGCGACGGTGTGTGTGTGTGTGCACAACACTTCCTCTTTCATTGGGCTGAAGTGTAGCAAGTAACCTTCTGCCGCTGCCTCCACCATCTCGTGGCCTCAGCTGCACCCGCTGCATAACGACGGCCGAAGGTTGGTGGCAAACTAAGCTACATCGAGCGGCGCTTGAAGGTACAAACTTTGCTCATTTATTTGCGGTTATTAAATAAGTTAATAGCAGCAGCAGCAACAGCTGCAACAACAACAAGCGAAAAAATCCAATAAATAAACAACAAACAGCGGCATGGAAGAAAACGAAGAAGAAACAACTGAAAACATTTGTAAAAACCAACAACAGCAGCAGCAACAACGACAACAACAACAACGAGAGAGTAAAGAAATCATTGCTCATAACAATAGCTGTAATGGCCTGCTTTCGCAAAACTGGCGCCGCAACATATCAACAACAATTGCAGGGGCTTGAGGTGTAGCATCAACCGGCAGCAGCTTCATACGATAACTTGCAACAGGAAGTTTAGGCGAAATCAGTGCCAGCACACAAATGTGTTGTTTTCATTATTGTATTTTTTTATTCGATTGTTGTTGTTGTTTGTTGGTGTTGCATACTCCATTGCAGCACTTTCCATTCATGCCACATGCGAGGCAATCTATGATTTGTGGCAAACGGGTTTCTTATTATTATTGTTGTTAGTGTTGTTGTTGCTGCAACAATTCATTTCATTATTATTGCTGTTGCTACTTTTCGCCATTGCATCAGCAGTAGTAGCGAAAGCAACAACTAAAACAATAGCTTCAGCAGCCTTCATTCGCTGATTTTCTTAACTTCTTATTGTGTTGCGTCGCTTCTGTGATTTTCTATTTTCTTATTTTACATTTATTTTATTTTTTATTTTTTCCGCTGCTTTCTCCTCCTCCTTTCTCCCCTTCTGTTTTTAAACAGCAACATTTCATGTTGCTCGCATTACTTGCGCGCCTTCAATAGGCCTCCGTCCTCTTTATTTGCAGTTACATACGAGCTATTAGTCTTTGGTTGGGTTCAGCAGACACTCTTCTTCTTCTTATTAGCTCCATCTAGTGCAGTAAGCTTCGCTAACATGGTTTTGGCTCCCTTGGCTATGGCAATACGCCAATAACGTGACTTATTACTTTCGTAACATATTTTAAATGGCTTTGTTGTTGTTGCAATTGTTTTTAATAATATTTGGAATGTTTTTGTTTTTTCTTTCTTTACTTTGAGTCTTAATTTTTTTATTTCAGTTTTTTTTTTTTTTAATTTGAGTCTCCATATTTCTTTTTTATTTTATATTTCTTGTTTTTCTTAAATAGTTTTGTTGTTATTGCTTTATTTATCGTGCCCCTTCGCCTGCAAATTGTCGCTTGGCTTTCGTATTTATTCGTTATAGTTTTCCTCTACAATTGTAGTTGTTACAATTTGTGTTGCTGTTGTTGTTGTTGTTGTTGTTGTTGTTGCAACAGCACCACAAAATACAGTTAGCAATAGTTGGTAATTACTTTTTGCTCTTGCTACACCCGGTTTTCCGCCACCAACGTACAACTGTTTTGATTCATACTCGACTGCCTCTTCATCTTGGCTAAATGTGCATTTAGTTGTTTTTGTTGTTGCTGCTTTTTTCAAGTTTTCTTCCAAGTTTAACTTTTGCCACTCAAAGTTTTCCGCCCTCACCCACCAATTGTTTGCTTCTGTTTCTTCCTCTTCTTATTTTGGTTGCGTGTTGCCAATAGTTTTTGCTGTATGGCACGTTCAGTTCAACTTTTTTTGTTGTCGTTGTTTTTGTTGTTTCTGTTTGCTCAAGTTGCTTGGCAATTTTGTAAGATTTTCATTGGATTTATTTGTATTTGTTGCAGTTGTGAAGTTTTCCTGCCAAAAGTTTTTGCTAAACTTTCCAACACTCGTCGTGTCGTGTGCATCCTTCTCGTTTATGCAATCTTTTTCTTTGTCCTGTTTATTTGCTCGAGTTGCTCCTGCTCTGCTCTGCAGTAAGTGTTAATAATTGTGTAATCAATATTTCTTCAACAACACTTTGTAGGTGTTGAATTGGTGCAATTAAATAACCGTTACGACTTCATTTCTCTGATTTCTCAGACGTGATGACACAAGTGGTTTTGTTGGAACTTTCGTTTCGAGGTTGATTTTTACCATTTAAAGTCGGTCAAGCTGTTGATAAGAATCATGTACTTTGCGCGAAAAGCTGAATAAAAGGGTTAGGCTGGTTTGTTGTTTTCTGCTGCGAAAATTGGCAACGTTGCCCAGTAAAAATTTAATATTACAGAATTTAAAATAATAATCGAAGCTGAAGTGTATATCATTGATTTATGCGGCGTAATTTTTATTTTCGTAACCCAAACTAGACATTTTGTGTCACGAATATTGACATCATTTCTCTAAAAATCAAGGTCACTCTGTGTGCCATTTAGTAAGCTTCTTACTCATTTTTCGCCTTGAGTGTGAATTATTTTACTATTTCATTTGCCGAAAAGCGTGTTTGATTGGTGATTGCTATTACATATTGTTGTTATATTTTTTTTTTTTATAAATATTTTAATTTTGCTGCAAAGTTTTTATTGCACGGAAATTTGTTATGGCATTTGTGGTGCGCTTCACATTGCCACGCTTTCATTTATAGCTGAAATTGTAAAACAATAACAACGTAGTTATTAGCTAAGCGTTAACAAGCGTATTCAGAAGTGTAATAAATGTTTCAGTTTTGCTAATAAAAGGTGGCTAGGTGGTGAGGGATTGATTATCTAAATAAAGGTTTCGTTAAAATAAAAAAAAGCATATGCTTTATATTACGATATTTTATTTTATAGAAATTTTTTATATACATTTATTTAATTTAATTTTTTTTTCTCAATTTAAATTCAGTTTAAGTATTTCTTTTGAATGATTTCTTTTTTAATTTAATTTTACTTTTCTTTAATTTAATTCGTATTTTGCTTTAATTTATTTATTCAGCTTACTTAAATGATTAAATTTATTCTCTATTTGATTTTAGTTTATTCGGCTTTTTTATAAATAACTTTAACTAAATTTGTTTCTATTCATATTTTGATTTAAAATGTTTTATTTTCCTTCGTTTAATTTATTATATTTTATTAAATTTAATTTTTACCTTTATACGTTTTTTCACATAATTTTTTCCTTTCATTTAATTCTTTTTTTTATAAAAATTATGTATTTTTCTTTTTTTCATCTATTTTTTTAATTTTCGTCTACGTCGTTTTATTTTGTTTGTTTAATATATTATTTATTTTTTATTTAATTTTAAATTTGACCTTTTTTTATTTAATTTATTTCACTTTATTTAGTTATGATTTCATTTCACTATTTTTTTTTTTTTTAATTTTATATTATATGATAATTTATTTTATTTGTATTCCTAACCATTTACGTTTGCAATTAATCGATATTTTATCGATTTTCTTTTCAACGAATGCCGGAAAAGCTTACCCCAAATGCGATGGATTATTTTGTTATTGTCTGTGTGTAATGAAAAAGTTTCATTTTGGTTAATCAGCAGCGATTTTTGAGCACTTCCTCTTTATCTATTTTTTTTTTTTCAATGGATTTCAGACATTGAAAAACTCGGCGCTCGCTTGACTACTCTTGCGTGTTAAAGCTCTTGATTGAGGGCGGTTCTTTGGTAGTTTAAGTGGGATTGCGCCGGTAAGCGCTACTAAATTGGTAAATGCTCAATTAAGGCGAGTACTAAATTACCGTTGAACTATGATTTGATGCTATGGTTTATGTAATTATTTAACCATTAGCACAAGCTAACTAATTTGGTGCGCACTTGGATTAACAAATGACGTAGTTAAAAAAAAATAATTGAAAAATAAAAATTATTATTTGCCGCTTATACATATATTTTTTGTTTATCTGTTTCATACGTTTCCGCCTACGATGTTATCTGATTGTAATCCAAATTGCCCTACGAGCTGCAGACCTAAGCGCCATTTCAGGCTTCCGCTTTAGTTGTAATAAACACTTCAGCGCACATCAAGTACTTCAGCAGACGGAAAAGAAAGAAAATAATATTGGACAAACTAAATCCGTTTCAGTTTTTGTTAAATTATTTTCAAACTTCTAAATCAGCTTAATTTTTAGCTTAAATTATTATTTTTTTTTTTGATCTTAACTCTTTGGACTCGCTGTCTGTTTTAAGCACCAGCCTGCTTCGTTTTTGCGGCTTTATCTCATTGGTTTCTGGTGTTCTGGTGTTCTAAATCAGCTTTTTCTTTGCATTTGCGCCGCTTTCTCGCCATGCACCCATGGGAGCGGGCCTCTTGCGGTGGAAATGGTAGAAACAGCAGCAGTCGCAGCAGCTGTGGAACGAGAAAGGCGATGCGATCTATTACAACTTCTACTACAACTACAATTACAACAGTTACTCGCCAATTAGTTTCATCATTAGTAACACCGTTGGAGCGTCTACTTTTTGCTCGAAACACAAACAACAACACTTTTAGCGTCAGCTTGGTGCACTCTGCGCCAACTCTGCTGCTGTGCTTAGCCGCGTGCTGTACCTTAAGCCAAGCGGATGTGTTTGTAAAGGTGAAATATTTTGGCATACAATTCAATTTTTATTTTTACCATTTCTTACTGTCTGCCTTCTTAATTTGTTTACTTTTAATTTTGTTTTTGGTTATATTTTCATACATTTTCTATTTATTTTCGGTTGGAGCTTTTAGCTTTTAGTCTTGCGGCGTTGACCGATTGCTCTAGAGATTCTTTGGCAAAATTCTTTTGCTCTTAAGTTTTTGTCGCTTTTTCTTCGTCTTCTTTAAGTCTTTGTTAAATTTAGCTTTGATCCTCAGTAACAAATCTGCCCGAGCTATTCACTTATGTTAAAAGCATTAGCAATTATTTTCTCAAAATTAGATTTATAAAGATTTTAGTCCTTGTTCCTTAAAAATTTTATTATAATTTTTTTTTTTTAATTTGCAATTAAATTTTCAATTTCACATATTTAAATAAATATATTTTTTTACGTTTCATCATCTTTCATTTTTCTAAAATAATTGCCTGCAGCGCGATTTCGAATTATTTTTCGAAAACTTCACTTGCTCTCGCCTTCCGAACAGCAACTCCGTGGCGAGCAATTATCTGCAAACTCTCAATTGCGGCCTCAGCAAGAATGCCAAACGACGCACAGTGCAAATGGAATTATCATTTAAACGCGATTTGAGCGATTTCGAGTTGAACGTGTTGATTGTGTTGCCGCGCAGGCGCGCCGCTGACTTTGTACTGCTCAATATCAGCTACATTAATGGTTGTGATTTCCTTGCCAATCGTCATTTGGTCACACTCTTGCAAATCGGACGTAAGACAATCGATAAATATGGTAATTTTCCGCAGCGTTGCCCTTTTCAAAGCAACACAGGCTACTACATACGCGGCTATCGTTGGGGTATGGACACGTTGCCGGCCTTCGCGGTGCAGACTACGGTGCATATTCACTTTGAATATCTCGTTAATGGTCACATTATTGTGGAGGGGCACATCAAAAGTCGCTTGGATTTGAAGTCGGGCCGCAAGGAGGCGGCAACCGGTTGGTTTGCTGTAGACTGAGCATGAGTAAAGAGGCCAAGCGCACATATAAAAATGTATATAAAATACAAAAAATTGTAAAAGTCACTTAATTTGTTATTAAAAATCGAATAAAACGTAAATGAAATCGAGTAAATTTTTGAAAATAATCGTACAAATTTTGTTAATTATTTTCCAAGCAAAATTTTATAAATCTAGTTTAAATCGCTGTTGCGCTTAGCCGGATGAGCTAATATCACTTTTATTTATTCTCTTATGCTATTCATAAGCGTTGTACGCAACTTGCTTGACTGCTTAAGACTTTTATAAATATACGAAAATTTTGAGTTTTTTGCGCTCACGCGTACATACATATAACAAGCACGTACATACATATAACAAATGTATTTATATTAACAATAATAATATTAATGCGCTGCTCTTTGTTTTACGGCATCACCCGTGTCCGTCCGGTGCGACCCCCTCTCATTCGCTTCGCAAGCTACAACAGCTTTTTTATTTGCTGCGCTGACTCATCACCTGAAAGGCACACACGAAGGCGCGATTTAAAAACACGTTTACAGTCATGTGTCGCGCGTTTTATTGTTATTATTTTTTAATATATTTTTTGTATTTTGCTTTTGCAATTTTTGTTTGTATTTTTTTGTCATTTGGTACGTGCCGCTCTGTGCATGCAAGTCTGCTTATGAAGTTTCTCTTTATACATATTCGCCTTATTTTTGCTTTTGAAAGTATCCCAACGGGATTTTAACAATTTATTGTTTAATCGTTTGGCCAACTCATTGATTTTTTAATTCTTTTTGTAATAATTTTTTTTTTGCTTTTACTTTTATTGCACATTTGCGTGCATTTTTTAATGCGTGGATATGATTCATTAAGGTAACAAGCTAGTGGACGTTGTTTTTGTATTTCGTACGATTTGCGATATGCCATATAATAAGCTTCAATATAGAGTTGGGATATTAATATATAATTTTATAACTTGCTGGCAATTTCATAATTTTTCGAGATGTGACATTTTGCATATTAATAATAATGCGTATTAATTGAAATAATTTTTTATGACCTGTCATTTTTCCGGATACTTGAAGTTTGTTCGTTAGGCTGTAGTATTTTCGAAAGCTTTTAAAATTTTCTTAAAAAAATAAAATTTTCGCAGGTTACAAAAAAATACAAGCAACTTCGATAATTTTTGAAATCATCGATAATTCGTAAAAATTTCGATGAATCGTAAACATTTCGATAATTCGTAAAAATTTCTAGAAGTTGTAAAAATTTCTATAACTCGTTGAAGTTTCTAGAACTTGTAAAAATTTCGATAACTTGTAAAAATTTCGATAACTTGCAAAAATTTCGATAACTTGTAAAAATTTCGATAACTTGTAAAATTTTCGATAACTTGTAAAAATTTTGATAATTTGTCAAAATTTCGATAACTCGTTAAAATTTCTAGAGCTTGTAAAAATTTCTAGAACTTGTGAAAATTTCGATAACTTGTAAAAATTTCGATAACTTGTAAAAATGTCGATAACTTGTAAAAATTTCGACAACTTGTAAAAATTTCGATAAGTTGTAAAAATTTCGATAACTTGTAAAAATTTCGAGAACTTGTAAAAATTTGGATAGCTTGTAAAAATTTCGATAATTTGTAAAAACATCGATAATTTGTGCTGTGTAAAATTTTGTGTAATCTGCAAAAAATTTATCTTATAAAATTTTCTTAAATTCCCTAAACTTCTTCCAGTGATTTCTCAAGTTTTCGATAGTTTTTAGCTTCCCTTTAATTCGATAATTATTCAGGAATTTCGCAATCACTTATTTTATAACTAATACATATATGTAAGCAAATTTTGACGTTGACGTGATTAGTTTTATGCCTTGAATCATAAATCTTTAAATGCCACTCGGCTCATTTTTTAACTCTCATTCGCCATATTTTTATTTGTATTTTTAGATTTCTTTCCAACGAAATCCTAAATTTTTGCAAAATTTCCAATTTTCTTCAAATACAAAAATATTCTTCTGTGAACTGCATTACTTCTTTCAGCGCCAAATTTTACTTGTTTGTTATGTCTTAGAATGATTTCTCAATTTATTTAATTTCCAAGAACTCGTTTCCATTCGCTCGTGATATTTTTATGTTTATTTTCTTTTTCGCACATACATGCATACATATGCAAGCGAATTTCATTGCGCTGAATTTAATGTTCATTTAAATTTGTATAATTTGTTTTTATTTTGATTTTTTACTTTTTTGTGTTTTTTTTTTTTAATTTCTTGTTTAACTTTTTGCTTGAGTCTTTGCCGTGAAGACTTGAAATCAAGAAATTGGAAGTGAGATCACACTTCTCATCGCGTCGCTTAAAAAACAATATTAATATAAAAAAAAATATGCTTAACTGTAAATGGCAACTGTAACCAGTAATTGCCAGCCAGAAAGTAAATTGGGTCAGTTCATTTGGACAATTGGCTGACGATTTATTTTGGTTTTCCATTAAAAGTGCTGTGTTGGTTGTTGACAGAATACGAAGGATAAGACTGCAGTAAAATGGTATCTAAGTAAATAATTTCAACCTTCAAATCAAAAGCAAATACGCGAACAATACCGCTGAGGTTGTAAAAATTGAGAGTGAAAGACGGAAACAATTAAAAGTATTTAATATTTTAATTATTTCAATTTATTTTTATATTTGTAAAATTTTCAAAAGTTTCTGTGCTGGAACTTTTCTTGCAACCATTTTTATATTTTTCGATAGTCTGAATTATTCATGGTAATTTTTAAATTTTTCCGATAAATTTTGAATTATTTCGATTATTGCTAGATTTTTCGGTAGTTTGAAAATTTTCGGTTTATTTGTAAATTTTGCCATGAGAATTTTTGGATATCTTGCACATACATATTGCGGTAAATTATAAGCGTTTCGATTATTTTTACACTTAGATGCTCCAAATTTTTTTGCTAATATGAAGTTTTCGATAATTAGTAGGGTTTTCGATAAATACTAAATATTTTGATAATTATTATTTCGATATTTAGAAAATATTTCGATGTCCCGAGGCTCACAATATTTTCCTCTTTTCAAATTAAATGGAGCCCCTCACTCACACTCCCACTCCAATGCATTCACTCACCTTTGTGCGCTTAGAATATTATAATTCTTAATCCATTTAATGACCCGCAGCAGTGAAAGAAATTATAAAAAGAAAAGAATTGAAAGCTTCTTTCGATGTGAAAATGACAAAAGTCGTAAATCAAATAATTAATTGCGCTGGCATCCTTGACCCATACACATGCTTACATACCTGAACAAACACTCTCATGGCGCACACCCACCCACACACCCATGTGCATGGCAATAAAAAATAGGATGAACAAACAATTGAACCACGACGATGACGTTGACTACGTGTTGGGCGTGCAAAATAAAAATAAAAAAACATTAAGAGTAATGGAAAAACTAAAAGAAAATTTATGGAAAAGAAAATAATAAAAATAAAATTATGCAGCGCTACACCCAAGCTACAGCTCAACATCAAATTCTTTCACACACACATACACATGTCTGTATATATTCAAATATGTAAGTATGTGTGCTTGCTTTTACTCCAGAAATTTACCATGCAAAGTGGCATTCGTACAGGATATGCATGCGGTAAGCGTTAATAGCATTGAATGCCAAAGTGCGCCTTCAGCGCTTAACATAGCAGCAGAGCACAGCTTAGCGTATGCGCTGTAATGACGGTAGACCAAGGAGTGGCTTTAAACAGCATAACTCACAATAGGAAACGCATAAAAAGACAATGCAAAACTAACTGGGAAAGGTCAACTCGGCTGTATTGGCACAAAGCATGAAATGCGCAGTAAAGGACACTGCCGCTGTGCTGCTCCTACACTTTTCTGTCTTATGTCCACAAAAGGACAACACGAAACACAGTTGGCTAGGTTCTGTAGCGACAAATTGGATTAATGCCGGCTAACTATTGCTATGACAGTCGCTTCGTCGACAGTCGAACACCACCTCAGGTCGATGGAGTGGCATTAAATATTAACGGCATTTTTTTGCATGTTTGTTTCTCGTTTATTTTTCCTTATTCTGTGGTTCCTATTGCGTCGCAAAATTATGAAGGTCAATTTTAAGTGATGAAATTGAGATAATTTATTTTCCATTTGCATTTAAAATATTTAAATACATGCTAACTTCGGTCTTAGCTTAAATTTCTTTACCGTAATACGTTTGAAAAGGAAATCACCTTGTGCGAAGAGATAGAATTCAAAAATATATATTAAAAAAATATTACATAAAAAATTATTTATTTTTATTGTGTAAACGAAGATTCGAAATGTCAAAACCTAATTCTCATGTATTTGGTTTGTGTAATTTGTTAAAATTCAAGGAAGAACAAGAAGAACAAGCAACTTCATCTTCTGTAAAATCACCTTTGCCACAGCGTAGTGTGCCGAAAGAATTTTCATTGCATGAATAATTGAAATGCTTCTTGTAGACATTTCCAATTCCTTGCATTTGTGAAAAAATTCTTATTATTTCAAACTGACCTAATTTTTAATAAATTTTTCAGTTTTTGATGAATGAATTTAAACGCTATCAATTTCCTGTCAATACTTCGATATATTTTCAACACTTTCGAATTATTAGAAATATATTTTCGGCATATTTTTAAAAACTTTTGCCAGATTTTCAAAATTTTCCATGTTTTCAAGATTCTCAAGATTTTTGGTAGACTTTTACCAACATCGGGAATAAAAAAAAATATTTAAACTACCGATATTTTCATAAATTTTGACATCATTTCAAAATTTTTGATATGTTTTAAATTTTTGATATATTTGAATGTTTCGATAGATTTTCAACAGTTTCAATATTTCGATTTATTGTTGCTATTTTCGTGGTATTCTAAGACCTTTGACACAATTTATTTTAAAAAGTTTTTGTATTTTTGATTTATTATCGATAAACTTTAAAATTTTCGATATAATTTAAACTTTTCGTTGTTCAATGTAAATTTGATAAATTCTAAATATGTTTTCAAGATTTGCAATAAATTTGATTATGAGTTCTTTGGGAAAATACAACGATCAGCGTGTGGGTAAGGGTAAGTCAGCTGTCTGGCTGTGAACAATTCCATCTATGAAAATTTTAAATGTATCGTTCGCTGATAGTTTTGCATTTATGTGCATAATTTTGTTTTTGTTTTTATGTAATTTAATTACTAGTTTCTACTTGCTCTTTGTGTCGAACGAGTGAGGGTGTGAGCCTTTCTATTTTTGTTTTGCCTACAAAGCGATTAAATAAATAATTTCTACTGCGCTTAAAGTTGTAATAAATTAAAATATGAGAACAACTTTTTTTTGATCAATATTACATTTTTTTATTGCAAATATTTACTGTCATTAATTAAATGACAACGATGTGGAATTAAAATAATAATTAAAAAGCAAACAAATTCTTCTAAGAAATTAGACGAAGCGCCGCGCATCGACTGAACTTATTCAAAATACATAATCATAATTTCGCTAAAACTTTAAACAAAACATTTTATAGTAATTTTCGTAAATTAGGCTACCATGTTTGCTCGCGGTTTACCCGCTACCCCCCTCTAACCGTCCGCGATTTAAATGAAACACGCGCATTTTGTTATTAAACAACAGAAATTTATGATTCGCAATTATTGCTGACAATCAACAACATTAGTAGGCAGCAATTACGATATAGTCAGTAGGAAAAATATTAGACAATAAAAAAGCAACAACACGAAATGCGACAAAAACAACGTGATCATCAATTGATGTCACTCAACGGTCATTAAAAAGTGTTCTACGGCTGGCTTATGTATATATATAACATATATGTGTTTTTTGTTTGCCATCAAACCAGCAATGAGTGTGATTTTAGTTATTGCTTTTTTTTCCTACTACGAGCCGACCACAGACTTCAACAAATATGAAAAGTCAAGAAATAATCGAAATTAAAATATCGATATATCTAAAAAAAATCGATAAAATAATATCTCTTAAGTTTTATAACAAATTTATTAAACATAATACCGTTTTTTCTGTAAAAAGGTATCGAAAATATTCAAATTTATCGAGTGTATGCAAAATGTGACCGAAAACAAACTAGGGAACGATAATATTTTGGTAATAACGAAGTCCATCTCAGCTTTGCAAATTCATTTAGAAAATGTTATACATAAAAAATATCAATAAAATATCCCTTCGAGAAAACACACACAAAAATGATAGAAAACAGGGAATTTGGTTGAAAATGTGTCAAAAGTGCGTAAGTTATCGGAAAAAATAAGTCAGAAAAAATCGAAAATAATGATTAAATTGAAAAACTAAGTTTGCTAAGAAAGTTATTCAAAGGAAAACCATCGATAATAAAAAAATTGCTAAAAGATTTATCGGAAAAATCAAAAATCGATAAATAAAAACATGATAAAACTAGCGAGGAGCTCAAAAATATTCTACATCGAAATCAAAAAAAAAAACTCATAAAAATAATCGAAGAACTTTGCTTCAAAAGCTCATCTGTTTCGATCGATCACAAATAACATCGAAAAATGTATACAACTATCGAAAAGAAAAACATGTATGCAGCAAACCAGCTCAACATATCATAACGTGACAGAATGACGGTGCAAAAAAAGATTGTATGCAACAGTGCAAATCTGAAATTAATTGTTTCAACAAATTTGAACTTGGCTTGTCAGCATAGCATGACTCGCCGCCGCCACCAACTGGCAGTGTGAGTGCACGTTAGCCTCGATCATGGTTGCTAGCCGAACCCGTTCGCCGTCATCCGCGCTACTACCAGTGTTACAGCGTTGCAATTTTCGTTGTTGACCAGTTATGGTGCTTTTTTATGTCATAAACTCGGTTGTTCATATACCGGGCGTGCGATCATCGAGCGACATTTGTCGCAATTATCGCTAAGCGCCCGTAAACCGCACCGCTTCCACCTACCAGCGCATGATGCACCGATCTACGTGATTTCCATGAGCTTCTATCACCGACAACATCTATGTGTGTATTCAAGTGATCGTGCCGCTAACAGGCGATCATGAAATGGGCGAAAGCGCCGCATGTCGAAAGTTATTATTAATTAAATGTTATAATTATATATTGTTTATACAACAACAAACATAACTGTTATACCACGTTTTGAGGAAACTGTAAAAAATAAAAGCTTTGCACGCCCAAATTTGCGGAGAAACAAACTAAAGGTGCTCGACGGTGGTGGAGAGCTTGAAAAATGTGTGACAAAGTATCGGAGCATTTTTTGCGGCAAGCGAAGAGCACAAGAATAAATAAAAACAAAAACAAAAATGGCGTGTGGTGTTTACGAAAGCTTTTAACATATCAATTCGAAAGCACTCAACCGTGTATCGATAGCGGGGCTGATCAACTAATTAGTGGCCAAAGAACTATTTCTTGTGTGGGAAGCACCAACTTGAACTAACAACGCTCCGCTCACCGTTAGCATATTTGCATTGACAACGAGCGCGGCCAACACAAACGCGATCGCCGCTGTCGCTGCTGCACTGTTAGATGATGACGCGCTTGTCACCAACACACGATCAATTTGAAACAGCACGATCACTCGCTGGGCTAGGAGCCGAGCACAGGGGGGTTAGAGTGTTTGCGAAATTTGTACAATTGCTCATTGCGGTGCTGCAATTAAACGCGCCAGCTGCTAGTACAAGTTAGTTGGTCGAACGGTCGAGCGGCTAGTTGTTCGATTCGTACGAATTACTATGTGCGGTGGCGATCGCGACGACAAAATTGACGTGAGAATAAATAAAATGCAAAAAAAAAAAATTAAAAAAGATAACTAAAAATATACTAAAATATTAAATGCCAGCGCTTCGGTGTAAAGCTAAAGTAAGAACTTTGTTGTAACGTCGACGCGCATTAATGATCGTGTGCAATGTGCCAGACTGCCTGTGTTACGGAGATTTTTTCTTATTATCTTAATTCTTGGATTTCGTAACTTTAGCCAAGAAATTGAAAATAAAAAAAAAATGTCAGACAGTTGAATTTCATAAGTGTTAAATGCATTTACGTCTTTTAACTCACCACAACAACAACGGCATAACTAAAGCATTTGATTGATCGTTGCCCTTGTTTGTTTGGAAAAGAGAACAGAAAAAGCTCATGAGAATTATAATGAATCACTTGCTGGCATAAATTGATCTGCTGACCTTTATAAATATACCCATACGGAAATTGTGTAAGAATAGGCAAACTTCTAGCATTCAATTAAAGAATAGTGTGTCTTAAAATAGCAGAAACTAGAATTATTTATGCGAAAATAGACGGACCACATATACCAAACAGTGCAAATTACCAAACGATCACGCCGCGATCCAGCGACCCAGCGATCCATGATAATGTGTTTGTAAATAAAGACTAAGTGAAATGCATAAATGTGTAATTTGGAAATTGTTTACGTCTGTCGCTAAAAAAAAAGTGCCCGATTATTTTCAATGAACCAAAGAAAAAACCCCTCTGACCTCACAAGCAAATAGAAAACAAATAATAATAAAAGAAAATAGTTTATTTAGCATAAGCAGGTGTTCTTGCTTTACGTGGACACAAAAACAAAAAATAAAGTTTCCTTCAACAACGACCGGGAAGCCTTACTTACTGAAGTTCGAAGATCACTGCTCGTTATACTGAAAAAGTCACCTTAACTGTGAAGAAAATATTCTTCACTCTCCAGTTAAAATGATAAATATTTCACAGAAACACGCAAAATTTAAATATATAATAAAAATATGAATTAATTATCACAAATAAATAATAAATCCGTAAAGTCAATTCACCAACAAATCATAAATTATTAATGTCGGAATAAATATATCACATAGCAGTAGTGTGTTCAGATCTTATGGCAGATCAGGTGACTTGATATGTGCGAATTCACGTTCATAATGACAACAATAATAGTAATTTAATTATTATACGATTCCCTAATGCCAGTTAAAAAAAAAATGGATTGAATAGTGAGGAAAACTACGCTGAAGTAAGAGGAGTTGCCGTGAGCATACACAAAGCTGTCTACTGCGTAATGTGATTTCACGAAACTAAAATTAGTTGAGAGTGAACTCGTGTAAAAGAAAAATCTGTTTTATTCTGTTATATTCACAAAAGAACTTTATTTCGAAATTAAATTACAAATTTCTAAAGTAATTAAAGGAAAAAAATGAAAAGTTAAAAGTGAACAGTGTCTGCCTTATGGTTTTTAAATTTGAAATTTAGCTTTTTGAAACAAATGGATATTGAGTTCCACTGGATTTTGCCAGATGGCAATTTCAAAAGAATATTAAGCTCAGTGCATCAGTTCTCAAAAATATTTATACGTTTTCCACAAAAAAAAAAATTGAAATTGAAAATAAAGAGACAATATTTTTTTATTTTCTTCTGATAGTTTTCGCAGTTCCATATAAATTGAAATTTCTGCTTTCGATTAGTCTTGTCATTCGGAAATATCTGATAATTCATTGTTTTCAGTAAATACTAATTTATTCCATAATTAAAAATAATTCCTGAAATTTCCATAACTTTTAGAATTCCGATAACTTTCGAATTTAGTTTTCCGATTTTTGCAAGTTTTCTTACTTTCAGATTTATTTGATTTTGAGTATCAATTTCCCATTTCGATAATATCTAACTTTTCATTTCTAGTCTTGCCACATTTTTTGAATTGTCGTCAATTTTTATAATTTGATGTTTAAAATTTTTTTTTAGTTTTAGCTTATTTTCGATACATTTTCAACATAAAAATTCTTTCAGATCTACTGTTTTTGACGGTCGTAAATTATGTAATCTATTAAAAGTAGTCCATAATTGTATTGCCAATATCCGTGTTGTAAAAATAATCATTACTAAAACCGTTTAGTTATGGCAATTTTTTTTCATTTTCGCCCGGTATTATTTGCTAATAAATTTTGAAATTTAACGTGTCTCTTCCGCATTCGTCGTAGGAACGTCATAGACGCTAACGAAAAATCGGAACGATTTCTGCAAGGTCCCCTCATGTATACATATATGCGTGTGTTTGTATCGCATGTGCGGCAGCATTCATCAACCCAGCGCTGCTGTGACATTATTTGGGGAATGCGATTTATGGCATGTGCCATTACTCATTTTCATAATTTGGCTCTCCTCACCCAACTGCTTGGATAATATTAATTACAAATGTGTAGTTAAATTTTTCGCAAAGCACAGTTATGTCTATTTTTTAGTATCCCATTTTTTTTTTTTTGCCCTTGTCTGACGCATTTATTGTTTGGCAATAATTCGCTGGCCACTATTTGGTCGCTGCCCGTAAATTACACATTTATTTGTATTTATATATTTATTTATTTGTTGTTTTGGCTCGCCCATGCGTCTTTGTCTGAATTCGTAAAGTGCCTTAGAAATAAAGTATAAAAAAAAACCAAAAAAATTGCAAGCTTTTCGGCATTTTGTGAGCTTCTTAAGAGCGCCTTTTGCATTTCTGGCGTTTTGTGCGTTTTCAATTGTTTCTTTTTTGCTCTTATTTACGATTGCGCGCCTCTCTTTTTTTGCGTTACTACTGTAATCATATTCTTCCGCGCACTTCTTTAAACTACTTCGTACCCTGAAACGGTTGTGTTGTTTGCCTTTTCGCCTTTTTAACCGCTGGCAATTGTCGTATTAATTAAACTTTCAACTGTTTGGTTAGTTGAATTCGATTCGCTTAATTTACTAAATGTACTCGGACATATGCTGCCGTTTACTCGCTCGCGCTCTCCTCCGGCTCTCGTCGTTTCAGTGACGTTTTGCGCGGCGTGTGCATGCAATCCGCGGTCCGCCGCACGCTTCTCCCTCTTAATTTTTTGTGTCTACTTTTATGACGCCTCACACATTTAAAGCTTTGCGGCGAGTTATGATCGCTCAGAACACACACCTCCGCTCTTCACTTGCGCTCAGCTGTTTCGCCATTGAAATATCAACACTTCTATTAAAAAATTGTTCTTTTGCCGCAATCTTCCGCCCTGCAACGGTGTGTGGCCTTACCTGTGTCGCCGTCGCCCAATGACTGTGTGCTTTCAGCCGCAACTCTTCCTCGTGTGCGTTTAATTTATTGAAGTGGCTTTCAGTTTATTATTGTTGCAAAATATTCATGTTCGTGTCAATCTAAAGAAATAAAAATTTACCTCCTAAACATCTATTCGTTAATACTTTTGTCTATTATTTCTGTGTCCCTTTCTCTGCAGTTTATTATTGCATGCAAATGTGTGCCCACGTCAATCGTCAACGTATGCTATTCTTCACTCAAAGAAAGAAAAAACACAAAATATTAAAAATATGATTTATAAATCTGTATCCGGCACTAAGAATACTCATTGGCGGCTTACCATAAATGCAGGTGCATTCTTAGCCAACTATTTACTAACAGTCGGTGCACTAAGTCCACTGTGCTGTTCTATTCTTCGAGAGATCATACTAAAATCATTCCATCAAAGCATAGTAAAGTACAGCATTTGCAATTTTGAAATGGTTTACTATTATTAGATCCTTAGACGATAAAAAAGAGCACACGTTTCATCTAAAAATTTCAGTCACGTTGTTTTTGTGCTAAGGTTTTTATTACCTAACCGTGACTTTCGTATATTAATTGCCAGTGAAAATTTTCCTAAATAATTTTTGAGGCCATGCTTGAGTTTCAGCGATAATTACTTATGTTCCTTCTATATATTTTTCTATAGGTTCTAATTATTTCTAACTAATTGTTTCGGTAATGTTAAATGGTTTATCTATTTTGAAATTTTTTCGATAGTTTTATATTTTTTCGATAGTTTTATGTTTTTTCGATAGTTTTATATTTTTCGATACTTTTTAATTTTTCGATAGTTTTATATTTTTCCGATAGTTTTATATTTTTTCGATAGTTTTATATTTTTTCGATAGTTTTATATTTTTTCGATAGTTTTATATTTCTTCAATAATTTTATATATTTTGATAACTTTTGATTTTATTCCTATAATTTTTTTTGATTTCCCCGATAATATTTAAAATAGCTAGATAATTTTCATGTCCAAAGGATTTGTAGATTTCTTTTCTGGTTTAATATTTTTTGATAGTTTTGCGTTATTTCGATAACTTTGTATTCTTTCGATAAATGTAAATTTTATCGATAATTTTATATATAATCGATATAATTATAACTTTTCGATAGTTGTATATATAAGATTTTAAATGTTTTATATCTTGATTTTCCTATTACGTGATTCATTTTCATATGTCGTAGCTTTCTATACACACTTGTATGTATTGAAATATATGAGCATATGTTTATTTATACTTACATATTACATATATACATTTATCTATTAATTTTGCTTAAGTGACAAACTTTGCGCTGTAAGTCATAATATTCTGTCCCTGGCATTTCTTCGAATAAATTTCGTATCTTATCATTACGTATTTATACACAATCTGTTATACATGCATACACGTATATTGTACATATTAAACGGCATATCGATATTTATATATAAGATTTGGTGTTTGATTTTCGAATCGAAAACATGTGATTATATTGCTTTTATATAGTATATAAGCAAACGAAATCTTGTTTGCAATATTTTCAAAAAAAAAAAAAAATAAAATAAAAATTGTTTGTTGGTTGCGTACATACATATGAACTCGCTTATATGTGCTGTACATATTTTTACTATTCTGTATTTGAAGATCACGCCGTTGCCATATGTCATTGCTTTTTGCTTTATTTTATTCGTTTTTTTTTATGTATTTATTTTGCTTACAAAGCACATAGGCATATATCTTACATATATATATATATATATATATATACAAAAAACAGATATGCACTTTCTTAGTTTACATTCAAAAATATTTTCTCAATAATTACAATTTTATAGCAAAGCTTGTTGAAATTCACTTTTCCTCGAATTTTTTTATGTTTTTCAATTATTACTTAGTTAGCCGACATTTATGCTGTTGGTTGTCAATTTTTGTAGTCATTATTATTTTTCTTACTGTTTCGCTGATTTGACTGACTCGCTGTTTATTTCGGTGTAATATTTGCGTGATTTCGATTTTTCAAAAAATGTGATATTATTTTTTCTGCACCTTCTATTGGAGCCTTTCGTTAATAAATAGTTTTTTCCTTTTTTTCTGCACCACCCTGTGCTAGTTAACTGCAAATGGCGTCACTCATACGCGCTGTTGATCAGTTAATTAAGTACCGTTAACTTGGAACATTTCCCCATATTATCTCATCAGCAAAGCATCAGAATCAACAGTTATCCAATATTTGCACAAATTGAATATTTTTAGGGTTGTTGTTGTTGCTTTCTCACTGATTTGCAGACGTCAGAAAATAAATATTTTTTTTTTGCTTTTTTTTTGGCCTGAGCAACTGGTTTTTGCACGAAAATTAAACAGTCGCGTTAAGTTGGCATTTAATTTCTGCATCTGTTTAAATTTAACACACGCCCAGGTGCAACAGGTTTCCAAGTGAAATTTTATTTATTTATTTTTATTTTGTTTTGTTTGAATTTTTGATTTCTGTTTACGTCAAAAAGCGTCGCAGAAAAGTACTTGATTACATTATTTTCACTTTACTCAACAGAAAGTCTTGCAATTAATGACAATTCGTTCGATTTCAATTAGCACAACACCGTTGGTTGGGTGTGGCCTCTGCTGCCTGCCAATATGTTTTTAATAATGAAAATGCATTTCCACGTGTCACAGCTGACAACTTTTTTCCAAAACTTCCGCTTGCAAAATGAAACATATGACCAAAGTAGCAGTTCACATGCAACCTTCGCTATTCATTTTCACACAAATGATTTTGTTAAACTCTCAAGGTACATACACGTACATACATATGTATGCACGTACAAGTATTCATAAATAACTGTAATTATATTCATATTTGTAAGCATACATACAAGCATTGCATTGCATGTGAAACTTGGGACCTTGAAATGCCAATCAATGTGTTGCTGTCAAGCTGTTGCGTCTCCAGAGTAAAGTAGAACCACTCAAACCGACCGCTACAGCTGAAGCCA